TTATTGATTTTTATCTGATCGATTTTTATCACAAATGATAACTATTGATTTCTATCTATATCAATTTTTATTGATAATTATCATATAAATAATAACTATTGATTTTTATCTATATCAATTTTTATCAAATATATGATTATTATCGATTTCTAATCTATATCGATTAATTACGACGGTGGTGTTGCTAATCGATTAATATCTTTAGATTATAATCGATACTTAGCACCCTAAAAAATTTATTGATAGATGCAATATCTAATTAAATTCTTATTTAATTATTATATTTTTTTTGCTTTTTTAATTTTAATTTAATTATTTATTTAATTTGTTTTTAAAAAATAGCTAGAGAGTAAGCTAAATAGAATAATAGCCAGCTTGAAACAGCAATTGAAGTTTATTAAAAATAATTTTAATTTAAATTTAAATAAATATAAATTATAATAAAACTTTAATTATTATTGATTTAAAATTTACTAAAACTAAAAAATAAAAAAAATAACATAATTTATTTAATAATTTATTAGTCTTATATTATTTAATTGTATTTCATCAGGTATATAAGTGTCACAAAAGAAATTTTGAAAATTTAAATATTGCTTATATTAAATTTTCAGGTTTTCTTTTGGCGACACTCATATATAGCAATTAGAATTTTTGAATATAACATGCTTACATTTAAAATTTTATATATATTAAGTTAAATATCTACCAGACTTTTAATGCATTTTTACAACATACATGCTTATCAAATATCTTACTACTGCAAGGTCTAATTCTAAACAACATTTATTTATTTACTACAATTTTCAACAATACTTTTATAAAAATTCTTTACAAGATATCTACTAATATTTATAAGCAAATATAGTTAAAATACTGCAAATCTATACACCAACATAGATAGCTAACAAACACTAACATTACTAATTCTCCACCCTACCCTCTACTTGCCACATTAACATAGCCAAATATAATAAATGATTAAGCATATTTTTTACAATTAATATATCTACTTATATTGCTACACTAAATCTAGTGAAGGCCAGGTAGCCCACTCTAGTAGAGTTTTGGGTTGAGAATAAACTAGTTCTAGCTGTATGTCCTTGTAATAATTTACGTAATTCATTCTAAATAATATAATGCATGATTATTTAATAAAGACCAAGGCTAGGCCTCATATTCAAATAAAAATAAAAAAAAAACAATTATATTTACTATATATATTTTACAAAAGTTTACTGCATGTGTTATATTTACTACATGTGTAATATTTACTACATGTAGCAATATTTACTACATGTAGCAATATTTACTAAATGTAGTAATATTTGCTACATGTAGTAATATAACTTAGATTCTAAAAGTAATTTATAACAGATTATTTCTTCTCTACACATATGTACAGTAGCTACCAAAATCATCTATAAGTGCTTATAGAAAGAAATATTATAAATTTACTGTTTTGCATCACAATACGGCATCCAATATAACACAATCTTAAGAAATTATTAAATTTATGACTACACCACTGCAACTATATATTCACAAATGTAAATATTTGACCACTTTCTGTAACTCTTATTAGCGCTTCACAGAATTTCTCATATGAAAATTCGTCGAAGCTTCAAGAAATATTCAGGTTAACAGCATACGTATGTGCAAATACCAATTTTCATTTTAAGCTTATTTTTAATTGAGATGCAGTATATTCGCAATTGATTCCGCTTATAATCTTCAGCAAAAACTATGATCTTTTAATTATGATTCAGCATCGCACAAGATATAGATAATGATTATGATAAAAGAAAAATCATTCTACATACGTACTGTACGTACGTACGTATGCATAAAACCTCAACTAATCTAATTGATAACTAAACTGTGACACATAATACAACTCTAGGTTCGATTATGTTTACAACCACTAATAAATCTGCATGTACGTATATAACTCAACTACCCCAAGAGCACCTCGAAAAATTCTATGTAAATTACGTGATTGATCATGATTAAATCATATCACAATATTATCATTAAATATTACTATCATGATTACTAATATTATAATGTTATTATAGCGAAGTATTTTAATTCTGTCTCTAATATGGATAACAATACCACAAATAATGCCTTATTAAAATGCAATAGTTGTCAAAAATTTTTATCTTTAAATAACTTCGTTAAAGACACTTATCAACATAAAACTTGCAATACTTGTCGTTACAATTCTTCCTTGCAATACAAACGGTCCAATAAA